CAGTAGGTGCTTAACAAATACATTTGGGTGGCTGAGTGAATGGAGTGTTGGGCCTAGTCAGAAAGACCTGAATTCAAACCTGGTCTCAGATACTTCCTAGCTGTGTGACCCTGGGCAAGTCATTGAATCTGCTTCAGTTTCCTCATCTATAAAATAGGTTTAAAAATAGCACCTTCCATCCAGTGTTGTGAAGATAAAATGAGATCATATTCATAAAGCACTTTGCAAATTTTTAAAGCACTATATGAATGCTAGTTATCATTACTATGATTAATTCCTTGGTCCATGTTAATAAGTTTTGTCTCTTGTGTACAGGACATCATATGGTACAGGCAGCCATCATATAAAGTAGGAATTTTGGGAGTTCTAGAAATATATTTTTCAAGTGACATCAATTATCAAACTTCATTATGTCACATGCCTTTGCTGGGCCCTTGCCCAAGGTGCCCCAGACCACTAGCAAAGCAGAAGCTGCTCCCATTGCCTTGAGCATCATCCCCCTCCACCTCTGTACTTTACAGTTCTATTGAAGAAGCCAGAACATCTCACCTGAGTCTAGTCCCTGGAGTGTAGGAATGACTGGTTGGATGATGTAAAATCCCTAGCTTGAGAGACTTAAAACCTGGCTTTGAATTCCAGCTCTGTCATTTAGCCATGGGATCTTGGTTAAGCCACTAAATCTCTTTGGTTTTGTCATCTATCAAATGAGTGAGTTAGATGACCTCTAGAGACCCTGAAATTCAATAACAATGGTAGCTTTTATATGGAACTTTCAGGTTCACACAGCACTTTACATGTTTTATCTCATTTGTTAGTCACAACCTTGTGAAACAAATGCTATTCTTACCTCCATTTTACAGATGAGGAAACTGAGGCTGAGAAAGGTCAAGTGACTTCACTACACAGGGTCACACAGCTAATCATTGTATGAGGTGGGATTCAAATCTGGGCCTTCCTGACATTCTACAATATATCCACAATATGCCATAGGGCCTTTTAATTTAGGAGAAAAAATGCATTAAGTACCTACTATGTTCAAATACCTACTTACTATGGTAGGGGCTGAGGCTAGAAAGGCAAAAACAAGATATCCCCTGCCTTCCATGAGCTTATATTGAATTGGGGTTGGAGTGGGTGGAACAAAACATGAAAAAAGTAAATAATTTGAAGACAGGAAAGGAATAATGGTAACTGGTTGGCAAATGGAGGCTTCACAGAGGAGATGAAGTTTGAAATCCCATCATTTTATGAGTGGCTGGCTGTTTTGGAATCTGCTGAGAAGAGTAATGGTGTTTGCCTGAGAGTAGAAAAAAGCATGATGGGATCCCAAAAAGGATTAAAAAAGAGAGAGAGATGTCACAGAATTATTAAATGAAATGGGACTTCAAGGATTACGTAGTCTAAACCTCACCTTCAATCCTTATCTAGATGACAATAAATTCAGAAGTGTTAGGGCCTGAATTAATACTATTTCATTATTTATTATTAATACTAATAAGAGAGGCAGCATGGAATGGTGGACAGAGAGGTCAGGAAGGCTAGAGTTCAAATCCTGCCACTAATATATAATGGCTACAAGATTCTGGGTAAGTCATTTACCCTCTAAGTGGCTCAAGAAACTCGAAAACCATAAGGTGCTGAGAAGGGTAAAGGGAGTTTCCTCACTGGAAGCTTACTATCTGTGAAATCAAAGGTCCAGTCTTATCCCCAATAATAACATAGCACATTTAAATTGCACCTGACGGTTTACAAATGAGTTGTTAGTGTAATTTCATTACCTCTTCCACCTATGAGTTGTGTTTCCAAGAAGAGTGGTAGTATAGACATGGCTAGGAATGTATAAGGACTCTGGATCACCTCACAGGCTAAAGAACTGGAATCATCTCAATCCTAGCAGATCTGTTCCTCAATGACATTCTCCATTGCCTTCTCTCTGTGATTAACTCCAATTTATCATGTATATATCTTATTTGTTTGTGTATTATCTGCCCATTAGACTGTGAGCTCCTTGACAGATGGAGCCTTCATATCTTAATTCTTTGTAACTCTCTCAGGGCATAACACAGTGGCCTGCACATAGTAGGCTCATGTTAATATCAAAGATAGAAATAGCAAAAACCAGGATGCAATGGCTAGGTACACTCTCTCCAGTGTGTTTTCTATTATGTGTCTGGTGAAACTGACTTGACAGGAAGCAGGACACCCAAATTCCAATGCTATTACCCCTCCTCTTTCTTTTACTTCCAAGATTCAGCTGATTTTTGGAAAATAAGAGTACTCAAGTCTAAGTATCTCCTCAGAGGCTGTATGCGCAGGTGATAGGTTGGCTACTGATCCAGATCTACCGTTTTATGAAGAAAGTCTTTACCTATGATCTTATGATAGATTTCAGGTAGTCCCCAAACTTAGGGAAAAATACATTTTTATTTCAATAAAATTGGCTTTCTGTGTAATTCTATGTGTTTCACTGTATGCATTTAAGAACATTCTGAAAAGGGATCCATGGGTTTCACCAGATAGCCAAAGGGGTCCAAGATTTAAAAAAAGAAAAAAAGGTTATAAACTCCTGGGCTTCAGTCTGATTGTCAGGCACTCCACCCAGAACATAAGCTCCTTGGCAGCAGGGACTATTTCATTTTTGCCTTTTCATAACTGGCACCTAGCATGGTGCCTGACATATAATAGGCATTTAATAAATGTTTGTTGATTTGTTTATTGATTGCTTATATTTCAGGCATGGTTCATGTGCAGAAGCTAGTGATCAATGGAGCCCAGAGATGTGGCTGCCACAATGTTTTATTTGTTAGAGCTGGCTGGTTCAGATTTAAAGTTTGAGATGGTCATCTCCTTCCAGTACCGAATAATATAGAAAGAAAGAGGCCTGTTAGGCTGAACTGTCAGCAGCAAGCAAAGTGTAGAAGGCTAAATTCTCCATTTCCCAGCCCTGAACCACCCAGCAGCAGCCTTTCCAGAACAGTGAATCATCCACACAGCTTGCAGAAAATTAAACATAATTTATGCTTTGCTAATTGAAATCAAATACAAAATCCAATCTCTTGTGGGTTGCAATGCTGACATTTAAATAGGAAAGAAAAAAAAAGTTATTAACCCAATTCTCCTTCCACACCCACCTAGCTAGGAAATAATTCCTTTTGTCAAGTGTCCCATTAAAAAAAAAAAAAAGCAATTTGGGCTCAGCAGATCCCTTTAGGGGCCATGGAAGATGAAACCAGCCAACAAAGTGGAAAGCAGGACAACGATATAAAATTTTGTATTTCCTTTTGGAATCTGGATCTTTCAAAAATGTCTCCAAATGGATGTTTTAAAAATTAATAAATCTCCCTTTCCCTCCCCATATGACATCTCTGAAGAATGGTTTCCTATTCTTCTGCCTCTCTGGAGCTGAGAGAAACCCTTTCCAGGGTTGTTTTCAAGGACAAAATATAAGGTAAGGGTAGCTATATCCTGGAACCTCACCTGTCACTAAAAAGGTGATGGTTAGCCCTTCACCAGGCTACCTGATTTTTTAAAAATCCTTTTCTGTTCAACACACAGAAAAAAAATGGGGGATTTTTTTTTCACTTCATCCAAACTCTGGGAAAGGCCTTATTGAGTCACTAAGCATTTTACTTTTCCCTGGACCACAGGGATATAACCTAAATAAAGAAGAAATCCTTGGAGGGATAGGATGGAAAAAGCAATACAAGTTACAAGCACCCTGGGCCATGTTTTTAATCCCTGGGAGTCAAATCTAATACCCCAGGATTATCACACCTTACCCAGCATGGACTTTCTTCTAAAACCTTTTCTGTAGAAATCAAGATTGAAGGGAGGCTGAGGAGGCAAGGGAAATAATGGTCTTAATAAACCATCTGGGTTCTCTCCTCCAGAACACTTATCCAAATCTGATTACAAATGCATTGTTTTCCCTGTTTTGTAATACAACGTTTTGCTAGGTAGGACAGATAGGTAGGCAGAAGGGAGTTGGACCAGATGTGGTGAGGATACTAGTTGACCCTACCACCGAACTGGGATCCATCATAGGGTTTCAAAAAAGTAAGCACATGATCTAGTCCAAATTCACATTTGACAGAGAAGACTGAGGCCCATAGAAAGTAAGGGTCTTGTTTAAAATTTATAGAGTATTCTTCCATTGGTATGACCTCTTAGGGGCCTTCCAACTCAAAAGTTCTAGACTATAGGTTCTGGTTGGAGGAGCCTCCAAGACGGGGAGAAAAAGGCAGCTGGGATCTTGTATAAACAAATGCTCCCTGATACTTGTTACATATGGAACCCCCAGTTCCCCATTTATCATCTGGGCAAGAGTCAAAGACTACTGAAAGCCCAGCTCTACCTCTAGGGTAGGCTAATCCAGACTAGATTGCTCTTAGCTCCTTAGCCACACCCCAAATCTCAGAAGTTGACTTCCTTTGGGTCTCTTCCATTATGGGATGATTTCACAACAGCAAATAGTGAGTAGTGAGTGGGAAACAGGAGGGAAGAAGACACAATCTTTTTTTTATAACGGGCCATATGAGTGCTAATAGTGCAAACTTCTTGACCCTGTTACATTATTTTTCCTTTCAAATGTTCACATACCACATATATTAATTTTTTATATGTTATCTATATCTTCTTTTTGGTAATAAAGGTGTTTCTATTGCCTTCAGCAGTATAGGAACTTTCTTGTCTGAAAAAATAATTCTCATTTTTAAGGCTGTGTTTCAGTTGGATATACTGAACTAGGCACGAGTCCATTCTTTGTCAGAACTGCCTGGGATGGAGAAAGCCATGGCCTCAGGCTCTATCCTCCCCCTGAGCATGGCTCTGTAAAACATTCCCAAGAGACTCCTTGATTCTGCCATCTCCAGATCCATCAGGTGAAGCAGGTGTCAGGCCCCACAAGAGAATGCAGCTGGGACTATCCATCCCCTTGGAGGGTGGATGCATGATTATTGGAAACTGGGGAGACTAAAAGAAATGCTATCAGAACCCATTAATCAGATTGCATTCCATTTTTATAACAACACAGTTTTCATTTAGCGGGAGAAATGACATTTTAATAACATCTGAGAAAAATTAAACTCATCCCCACTACATATTTTCAGTTTTACTGGAATGACTTCTGGTTTTGTCAGCCTGTGGAAAAGTGCTTTGTGTCAAATGCTGTGTTTTAATCAAATCAAGCTAATGGGAACGGACATTTTATCCAGCCACACCTGATGTGCACATTTCCGTTCCTGGCCCGCCCCTCAAAGTCTGACAAATGAAGTTAGCTCTTTTGCCTCTGACTACAGCCAGCTGGCTGCTGTGAGCTGGCCTGAGAGGCCCAACTAGAGCAGGCTTCTCCCCCCTCCCCAAGCTACCTGGTACCATTTGCCTCAATTCCAGTAGCTTCGAGGCCTGGAAGTTCCCAAGGGCCTACTTATAGCCTATATGAACAGTGTCAGTTTCAGGGAATGAATGTGTCCCACATGCCAGGCCCTTGGGGGAGAGAGGAAGGGGAGGCAGAAGGGCATGCCTTGTGGGTGACAGGCTATAGCTGCCTGGCCCTGAGCAACAGATTAAGCAAGAGATTTGGAGAATCCTATCCAGAAGCAGCATGGAACACTTTGTCTTCCTGGGGAAATTGGCTTTTTTCCTCACCCCAAACAAAAGAGGGTTGGACAGTTTTAGTTTTGCAACCACTTCAGGAATCTTGCAAGAGCTGAGAGGCCGCTCTGCTGCTTGTCAGTGGAACAATACAATCAAGTTTGCTTGGGAAGGCTCCTGCTTCTAAAATGAGAGGCCATGCTAAGCTTACCTCCACATCCCACTGGAAGAGGAGCTCCTCCACCCTGAAAGCTCTCTAGAAGCAATTCATGCTCTCTATAATAGATGGGGAGGAAGTGGCCCCAAGGAGCAGCCTGAGTGAGGGACACATCTCTTTTGTCCCAACCTCAAGGGTGAAGGGGATACATGAGAGGATTTTCAGTGGGAAACTGAAGATCTCTGGCATGCTGGCCTCACCTCCCCAGTTTCAGGGTCAGAGTTCCCCAGGGCCATTTGGTCTTTTGCACAGACAGGTACAATTCCTCCCTCATCCCTCCCTATAAATGGCCACTTGCAGCCTATGAGGACTTGGAGGGGCTAAATATGCCTGTGCAAGGAAGAAGGAAATGAGGTCATTTGAAGGATAAGGAGCTGTCAAACACAGGATGAATCAGACACCCTGCAAGGGAAAGGGTGGGGCTCTTCAAGCTAAATTCCTCCCCTGTTTAACCATGACTTTCGCTAGGGGTGTATGTGTGTGGGGGAAGGGGGATTATCTTCTTAATTGCCCTCATGCTGAATCAGCCTGAGACATCTACTAGCTAAGACCAAGGTGCTAGTCTTGGCTGGAGTCAGGTTGATTGTGTGTCGGCTGTAAAAAGCAGACATTGTTTGCCTTTGGGGGCTGTGCTGAAAGCAATCTCCCTCTTAGTCCTTCCCCAAGCTCTTCTGACTAGATAATGAACATACCAGATTTGAGGGAGAACTGAAGGGAGAGTGACCCAAAAAGAAGACCTCCTAACTGATTGGACATTAAGGTTTCAGCTCTGCAGGGGCAGGAACCCTGCAACCTGCCCAACAGGTCGAGAGCTTCCTGGCTCCCAGGCTGTGGCCGTGAGCCCTCTGGAGAGTTTCATATCTCAGACAGTGATTCACCTCAAACTATCAGATTGCTTTCCCCAGAATTTCTAGCCTCATTTGTCACTTTCCTCCTGTTCCCACTGGAAATCTTGACCTGTCATTTGGTAAAACATAACATTGAAGGGTCTGTAAAATTTCCGCAGTCTGTGGATCACATCTGGATCAATCCTGGGATGAGTCCGCCCCTTGCTTTTGCCCAAGCACCTTGGGGCACTGCTGTCCTCTGGCTTCTTCAAACAAGGGAACCCCTTGGTTTTGTTGAAGTAGAAATGTTTCTCAGTCACCACGCGTTTGAGGCCTAGGAAATCCTGCACTTTGGCCATCTCCCCAGCGGGGTCCACAATAAGCCTCTCACCACTGACAAACAAGATCTGAGACAGGGGGAAATACTGCAGCCAATTTTCCAGATGTAGGGCATAGATCCCAATGCGGATGGCGCTCCAGGAGGCATCAATCAGCCCCAGGGTCCGGTTTTTGAAGGCTAGCACTTCAAAGGTCGGGATCTCTGGTTTCTTGGACAAGGTCTGTGTGTAATCAGAGATTGCCCGAGTCACAGGGTTCCTCACAACCACAATCAACTTGGTATCCTTAGCCATGGAGTGAATGCGTTTGGGAGCTTCATTGGTTACAAAGTAACTTGGAGTTTTCTCCATTGTTATCTGCCCCTCCAGGGTCTTGGGCATTACATTTCTGGAATAAAAAAGGGGAGAGAGTTGTTATTCCCACTTCATAATTTGTTTTTTCCCCTCACCCAACATATAATCTTTGAGATGAAAGAATCTTAGAGAGCCAAAGAAACTGATCCATCATAGAATCCTAGAATTTTAAAACCGGAGGGGACTTTAAGACAGAGAATGTCAAAGCCGTCTGACATAGAACTTCTTGGGCACCAGACCCAAATGGTGCTACCTCTGTTTTAGCCATCATCCTCACCTCCTTCCCATGGGAACTTAGGAACCTGCCCCTGAAACCACCCTGGGCTCTGATTGGTGAACTTTCAATTTCTCTTGTTCAAAGCCAGGGCTCCATTTCACTAACTAAGCTCCATGCCATACCTCCTTGCTGGTGGCAACCCTTTTCCCTTTCCAACTTCCCTTTCTCGGTCATTTTCCTCCATTAGAATGTAAACTCCTTGAGGGCAGGGAATCTCTTGCTTACATGCATTTGTATCCCTAGTGCCTAGCACAGTGTCTAACATATATCAAGTACATAATAAATGCTCACTCTGTCTATCCACCTACCTACCTATCTTTCTCTCATCTATTGAATTTCAGAGCTGTAAGGGATCTTAAAATATAGGAAAGGGGATGTTGGAGTTTGCAGGAAAATTAGAAGAAAAATGTCAGAGTTTGAAGGAGCTTTGGAACATAAAACGCCAGAATATTGAATGTTGGAGCTGGAAGGAACCTTAGAACATGGGACTGTAGAGTTGTAAAGGAAACATAATGTTAGATCATAGGATATTATTGCTGGAAAGATCCTTAAAGAACACTTAGTCTAATACCACCACTTGACAGAGGCCACTAAAGGTGAAATGACTTGCTCACAGTTACACAGCAAAGCATTGGCAGAGCTGGGATTAAAACCTAGTTCTCCTGACTTGCAAAGACTATTGCTTGTTCCAGTGTTTACTTTAAAAAAAAAAATCACACAGTCTTTGGTAAGAGTTTCTAGAAATCAAAGGGGTTTTAGCATCATTTATCCCCCTAATCAGAGCATGGCAAGTCTATCAGGTGTTAAAGCTGGGCTCAGTAACATATTATACAGTCAATTTGCCATAGGCATATGTAGACAAAAGTTAATTGACAATAAACCTGTACAATACCTGTCTGTACAGCAGGCCATCTGCTACCATTTGCTCAATTAAGTCTATTCACTTCTGAGCCCTGCACCAAAGTGGTACATTTAGGATTACACCAGACCTTTTTGTTATGATGACATGCTTTTAAATGTCTCAACTAATAAAACTTAATACAAAAGAAGATCCCTTAGCTTCTCCTACCATAATTAAATTTATTTACTATCTGGTGAGCGAGGAAAGAACGACTTCTCTTTTATCTCTAATTCGCATGCTCTGTCAATAATTAATTGCTACTGGGTATGAAGCTTCCTAAGTAAGCACTTTTATTAGGCAAAAGAAATTTGCCTCGTGTATAAATTAACATGTAGCTAGACTTTCTTTGAGAGAGTATAATAATTCTGTAACATGAAACTTTCTGATCAAAGCAACCTCACCAACCAAAATCAGGATACCATGAATTGAAGAGATGGCTTCCCTCCAAATGATTCAGACTAACTGCATATTCATTAAATTGTTTTTGTCATCACTCATTTTTATTTTTGTCTAAGAAAATTTCACATAATGAAAATGAGAAAAGATGTGGGATAATAGCCCCATTTTGTCAAAGGTTTAACAAAGGCACTTGCTGGGCAGCAAAACATAATGTAAAGAGTGTTAAATATGGATTTTGAAGATCTTAGCTCAAATCCTATCTTTATCACTGACTCCCTTTGTGCCCTTGAGCAAATAACAACTTCTCTGGGCCACAGAGATTTCTCATCTGTAAAATGAGGGAATCAGCCTAGTTGATCTTTATAATTCTTTCATATCTAAAATACTACAAAAGACTACAATCCTATAATCCAAAATAATTGAATGAATCCTGAACTTGGTATCAGGAGACCTGGATTCAAATCCAAGCTCTTAAACTTAATAGCCATGGGATCATAGGCAACTCATTTCATCTCACTGAGTCTCACTTCCCCCATCTGTGAAATGGTAGAGAATCTTTGCACTAACTACCTCACATGATGATTGTGAGGAAAGCCCTTTGTAAAATTGAAAGTTATAGGTGACCCTGTTATTAATTTATTGTAAATAAGGCTAAGAGTAGCATTTGAATCACCTAGCTCCTACTAAGGCAAGGACATTAGACTAGATAAAGCTGTGGGCCTTCCCTTTCTAATTCCAAGAGCCTATGATTTTAGTTCAGTGCAAAGGTTTCAAAATGGATAAATTATTAGGGTCAGGTTCCATTTAGAGAAATGATACACTGAATTGTTTCCCAGCTCAAGGGATTTTAGAAAATAGATAGGCATAGTTTAAGTTCCAACACGTTCACTAAGAGTTAAAGTAAAAAAAAAATTTTTTTTGGTTCAATTGAGTAAACTGAGTTTACTTCAATCTAGATGTTCAGAGAAGGAGCAATAGCAATCATTTTAGGACTTTGGATTTAGGACAGTTTGGTAAAATGGAAAATGAGCCAGACTAGACAGATGAAGAAATTAATTCCAGTTTCAGTTGTGTCACTTTCTGTTGTATGTGACCTTGGGCAAGTTACTTTGAACCTCACTTTCCTCATTTGTAAAATAGAAATAATAATACCTCCTCTGCTTACCTCAGAGGACTGTTCTGATAAGCACATGCTTGTGAATGGGCTATTAAACCTACAAAATTCTATACCCATATATGGGCATTTGTTATTATTCATGTTGTTATCAGTTAAATAGAAGGATGAGACACTAGTAATGATAATTATATTGTACAACATTGTATAATAAATACATTAGAGAATTACAGTCTTCTGTTTCCATTTAAAAAGAAAAGTAAGGGGGAAGTCTTATGATACCTTAAAATCAAGATTGAATTTAAAACCTGTGTAGGAGCTGTCCTTGGTACCTCTCAGTAGTAGCTGTGTCATGAATGCGTATTAACTCTGAGATTGGTATAGGATGAAACAGTCAACCAAGTAATGAATTAAAAGATTATAGTCTTGGTGCTATTACATATTGCATATGCTCAGCAAGTCACTTCTTCATTTTTAAATAAAAATTTGTAAGTCATCAAGGATTTATCTTTTCCTCAACACCAAGCCCTCCCCTTCCCCCTAGAAAAACAAAACAAAACAAAACAAAACCTGTTTAACAAAACAGCATAGTCAAGACAAACAAATTCCCATTTGTCCATGTCCACAAAGATAAATCTCATTCTAAACATTAGTCTATCATCTCTATGTCAGGAGGTAGGTAGCATTTTTCATCACTGATCTTCTGTACTTATGGTCGATCATTGCATTAACCAGAGTTTTCAAGTTTCCAAAATGGTTCCATTTTGGAATGTTGATGTTATATGCTATACAATAGTTTTCTAGCTCTGCTCACTTCACCCTGCATCAGTTCCCACAAATTTTCTATGTTTTCTCTGAAACAATCTCTCTTTCCATATATCCTCATACCATAATTGCCTCATCCACTCCTTAATAAATAGGCAACTCATTATTTTCCAGGTATTTCCCATTAAGAAAAGAGCTCCTATAAATATTTCTTCTGCACTTGGGGGCTTTTTCTCTTTGCTGATGTCTCTGAAGTACAGATCTAACAATGGTATTACTGGGTCAAAAGATATGCACAGTTCAGTAATTTGGGGCCATAGTTACAAATTGCTTTCCAGAATGTCTGGACCAATTTACAGTTCCACCAATGTACACCAATGCATCTGTTTTCCTGCAACTCTTCCAACATGTCATTTTCCCTTTTTTTTTTTGTTATCTTTGCCTATCTGATGGGTGCGAGGTGAAATCTCAGAGTTGTTTAATTTGCATTTCTCTAATTATTATTGATTTGGAGAGTTTGCTCATATGGCTAAAGACATCACAGATTTCATCCCTTGAAAACTGTCTTTTCATATGCTTTGACCATTTATCAATTGGTGAATAACTATCATTCTTATAAATTTGAATCAGTTCCTTATATATCTTAGAAATAAGACCCTAAGCAGAGAAATTTGTTGCAAATATTTCCCCAGTTAACTTCCTTGTAAGGTTAGATATATTGGATTTGTTTGTACAAAATCTTTTAAATTTTGTGCAATCTGAATTGTTTATCTTCTTTGCTCCTCTATAGCCCACATTTGCTCATTAATTTTTGTCCTATCCATAGATGTGAAAGATAATTTCATCCTTGTTCCACTAATCAGTTTATGAGGTCACCCTTTATGGATAGGTCATATGTTCATTTGGGGCTTATCTTAGTACATGGTGTGAGGTGTTGATCTAAACCTAATTTCTGCCAGACTATGCCCAGTTTTCCCTGTTGATTTTGCCAAATAGTGAGTCTGACACCAATAACTGGGGTCTTTGGGTTTACCAAATAGTAGGCTTCTAGGTTGATTTGTTTCACTGTGTTGTGCACTTAACCTGTTGCTCTGATAGATCTATTTTTTTAATCAGTACAAAACTGCTTTGATAGATATTGTTTTGTAGTTTGAGATATGGTACAATTAGACTTCCTTCCCACTATTTAATAATTATTTCCCTCAGATTCTTGACCTCTTGTTCCTCCAGATTAATTTCATGATTATTTTTTAAGTCTATAAAATACTATTTGATTGGCATGGCAATGAATAACTACATTCATGTTTACAGTATTTTGATTTTTATTGTATTGGTTTGGCCTACTTATGAGCAAGTAATACTTTTTCAATTATTTTTGTCTGTCTATTTCCTAAATAGTATTTCATATTATTAATATAGTGCTTATATGTATCTTAGTTAGTATATCCCCAAATATTAATAAACTCTGTAGTTACTTTAAATCCAATTTCTTTCTGTGTGTTTCTACTGAGTGTTATTGACCACATACATAAATATTGATTCATGTGGATTTAATATAAAAGAAATTTGATATTAATT